CAGCAGCTGCTGCTGCAGCAACCTAGGAGCCAGGGGCTCCCTTTTGGGGCCCCCAGCCAAAACGCAATGCAGCCCCCTTCCCTAAACCAGCCACTCATGCAGAAGCAGCAGCAGCAGCAGCAGCAGGGATCCATGCTGCAGCAGCCGAATGTGCTGCTGCAGCAAACAGGGCCACAACAAGCGCCGCTGCAGCAGCAGCACGAGCACCACCACAAGCTGCTGCATCGCGCTCCGGAGCAGCAGCAGATGTTGCCACCGGGACCGCCGCCGCCGCCGCCGCAGCAGCAGCAGCAGCAGCAGCAGCAGCAACAGCGGCAGCATATGCCAGTGCAGTTGCATCCTGCAGAGCAGCAGCCGCTGCTTCCGCAGGCGAGCCCGCAGCAAGCGCCGCAGCAGCCGCATGAAGCGCAGATGTTGCTGCAGCAGCAAGAGGGGCCTACAGCACAGCAAATGGACGGAATGCAGCAGCAGCAGCAGCAGCAACAGCAGCAACACGATGGGACTGTCCTTGTCCACGGGGTGGCTGAACAGCAAAGGGAGCTTCCAAGATCACAGGGGAAAACACAGCAGGGGCCGCACTTGCCCCTGCAGCAGCTGCAGCAGCAGCAGCAGCAGCAGTTTGAGGCCAACTTCAGCGAAGAAGCCTTGGTGGAAGAAATGGCCCCAAAGAGGGCCCCTGAGGCCAGCAGAGCAGCAGAGGCAGCGGCTGCAGAAGCGGAGCCTGAAATGGGCAGCCAGCAGCGGCAGCAGCAGCAGCAGCAGCAAGAGGACGTTGTGGGGGAGCCGTTGCTGCCGGAAGATGCAGCAGGTGTGGGGTTTGGTGCCTTTGAAGAAGCTTTTGAAGCAGCAGCAGCTGCCTATAGACCTCAGCACCCAGAAGAGGCAGCAAAATGGGAAGGGGCCCCCCTTGGGGGCCCCCCCGAGGCCATTCAGGCGCTGGGGGGGGACCCCCCTGAGAGGGCCCTGGGGGGCCCCCCTGGGGGCCCTCCTGAGGGCCCCTTTGGGGACCCCTTCGGGGGCCCCCTTGGGGGCCCCCTTGAGCCTCTGCCCCCAGAAGCTGAGGCCGTGGGGCCCCAACTAAATGGGTTTGATTTGGGGGCCCCTGGGGAGGAGCTGAGTTCAGGTGTACAGGCAGCTGGTTCGGCTGTACAGGCAGCTGCGTGGGGTGTACAGACACCTGGCGAAGCTGCGGAAGCAGCAGCTTGGGGGCCCCCCGAGGGGGACTTAAATGGAAATAGAAAGGGTCCAGCAGCTGAGCAAGGCTGGGAGGGGGGGCCGCCTCCCCTGGAAGGGGCCCCCTGGGTCTTTGAAAACCCCCCGACCGGGGCGGGGGGGG